TTTTTTTTTTTTTCGCGGTTCCGACGGCCCTGCCACCAGAAGGACCCCACTGGAAATAAGCCTTCTTCTAGACTTTTGTGGGCTATCCTTTACACCGAATAAATCCAATCCAATCCCACCATTTGAATATTTAGAGTTGCTACAGTAGTGGCAGGTGACAGATTTAATACTAGAATTAGAGGAAGAATTTAATAGTGGAATGGGCTATGAGGTTTATGAATTAAAAGACATGACATGAAATTGAAACACTAAAAAGAGGACATAACTAAGACATAGGTATCGAAGTAGAGTTTCCAATAAGATGTGAACAAATTAAGAGAAATTTGGGAAGATATGTATGTATATTATAAAATATACAGTGATGTTATCAGAATGTATGAAGATATTTTAGGTCAAGAAAGAAAACCATTGTACAATGCTTCATATAAATTAAAAACAGATGGCTTGATGCAAAATGAAAGAAAAATGGGAAGATATGTTGATCAAATCTTAAGTCCCCAAACTAATGTTTAGTCTCAGTCTATATAGTGATTGTTACCATAGTGAGGACACTGTATTTTTCTATACCACTGTTTCATAATTTGTTTAATCATAAATGTATGTGGAATTATTTTGAGATGTATTATAACTGAATTTTATCTTATGATATTAATAACATTATTGCATTTTAATTTTTCATTATACATTAAATTGTGCGTAGAAATGGTTGTTATGGTAATGACGTTTTGTTCTACAAACCACTGCATAAATTTCCAAAATTATTTTATATGGAAATTAAAAACCATACTGAGATGCAATACATGAAATTATATTTGAAATTGATTATTAATGTTCTCATATGATATTTAAGTTTTATATATTTTAGTGGTAATGATTCACTGTTGGTCTGATAAAATGAAATAAATATTAATAAACATTTAATAAACATTTTTCATTAAACTTACAAGTTTTCATTAAGTTTGCTAGCAGTGGAGATGTGTATAAGAGACAGGTACATGATGCTAAAGAGTGGGCACAGAAAAAAGCATCCAGGTTAAAAATGCTATATCTGGACACAGAATGTGGTAGCATTGA